CTGTTCACACTAAGATCGACCTGAGATCGATTTTGCCAGATCGATCTCAGGTCGATCTCAGATCGATCTCAAACGTATTATTGGAAGATTCACACTACATCGATCCTAGTTAGTCATTTCATTTTTTTTTTTGCACAGATCTCTTCGGAAGCACATCGTCTAACGTCGTAACAAAATATGATCGGCTTTTCAAAACAAGATGGCGGCAGACGAGGCGGCAGATATATCTTCGTCGTTTTGGCTACTATAATTTCTAATTACGAGAAAAATATCGAAAGGAATCGTGTGCGTTTTAGGAAGCAGTTTTTAAAATTAACGAATCAATTGAGAAGAAACGCTAAAAAGCGTGAAGCTTTGTTATTTTTGTATTTTCGAGCATTTGGTAATCGATTATTCACTGAAAGACGGTTTTGGGTTCAAGAAAGTAAAGACATTGGGTCTTTTTGGGAGAAAACGGTTGCTCTTTGGAAAGAGGACAGTCTTTGGCTTGAAAACTTTCGAATGTCTCGGGGAACTTTCGATTTCGTGTGTCACAAGATATCTGGTAATCTTTTGCGTCAAGACACAACCTTCCGAAAAGCTATATCAGTCGAAAAAAGATTTGCAATTTGCTTATGGCATTTGGCGACTGGAGAAGATTTCCGTTCTTTAGCATGGCGCTTTGGTGTTGGAAAGAGCACAGCTTGTGAAATTGTGAATGACGTTTGCGAAGCAATTGTAGATGTTCTACTCTCTACAGTCTTGAAATGGCCAACTGGTGGAGCGCTACGCACTGTCCTTGATGGTTTTCCCCAGATCTGGGGTTTTTCCCAGTGCAGGAGCAATCGATGGCACGCATATCCCCATTGTTGCACCACCGCAATCATCAACAGATTACTATAATAGAAAGGGTTTTTCCTCTATCGTTCTGCAGGCTGTGGTTGATCACAAATACAGGTACAACAACACCTGAACACCAATCTGTAGAATCTGAAATCTGTAGAATTAAGACGTTTGTTTACTCTTGGTTTAGTTATATTTTTCATTCTTTATTATTTTCAGTAGTTTTTCATTCACGTGAGAGAGTATTTTGCCTTTAACAATCCATTCTATTTATTATGATCCATTCCATCACAACAGTTTGAAGCCTCATTTTAAAATATATTTAAAGCATCATATTCTTGACTTTTCATGTTAATTATTATAGATTTACAGATGTTAACATCAAATGGCCCGGAAAGGTTCATGACGCACGAATTTTGGCAAATTCGGGTATTTTTAGAAAGGCCGAAGCTGGGCTCCTTTTCCCGGATGTAAGTTGTATGAAACTTTATGAGTTAAATCATAATTTTTTTATTATTTAAATGCAACATATTTATGCCACATTTTGTTATCTTTCAGATAACAGTAAACATAAGTGGGCGTGGTGTGATGTACCATGCAGTTGTGTTAATTGGAGATCCAGCATGTCCACTTCTGCCTTGGCTAATGAAGCGATATACAAACAATGGTAATCTATCTCAAGATCAGAAGAACTTCAATTATCGTTTAAGCAGAGCACGACAAGTAGTCGAATGTGCATTTGGAAGGTTGAAGAATAGATACAGATGCTTGCTCAGTAAAAGCTACACATGTTTGGATTACCTTCCAACTAAAGTTGCAGCATGCTGTGTGCTTCATAATATCTGTGAGATGAGGGCAGATAGTCTTCCAGATATGCTTCCTATTGCTAATAATGATGAGACTGTTAATGTGGCTGTTCAAATAGATAATGCAAATGCAGAAGTGATAAGAGACTCATTAAGAGAGTATTTCAAAACTAATTAATTATTAAGTAAGTTTTCTACTTCCCAAGTTCAGTTGAAATCTCACTAAGAAATGTGTAAATTTTGCCTGTTATCCCTAGAATAATATATAATGTCCTGGACATAAGTTTTTTCATCCAACAGTATTCCTGCAGTGGATAGACCAAATGCTTTATTTGAAATAAACCATGATAACTAATGTATAGACTATATATTGTAACAGCGCTCCACAAACATTAAACAGCTACATAAAGTAGCTTTAAATTTAAAGGTGACACAAAATTCTTGTCAATAGACAAGTTTTCATAATAGTACTTAACAAAATTGTTGAAATGTATATAACAGTAACAGTATTTTTAAGCACAGTTAAAGCTTAAAGTATGTTTGTTGGTTGTCAATAGTTATATCATGTTGCAAAGGAATGGGGTAATAAGGTGGTTGATTGGCTGGTGCTGGTTGTGTTATTGGTTTTGCTCTTCCTGCAAGTACACCTGCAAGAAGTGCCATGGAATCCTTGAAGGCACCCAGCTCTTCCTTCCTTAATTCTCTATCCTTCTCTGCCTGTTCCTTCATTTCAGCCAACATTTTTTTGTCTGATTCGTGCATGTAAGTATTGTGCTCCTTCATAGCATTGGTAAATGCATTTTGCATTTTAGAGGGTTTTCCTTTTCTAGTAGATTTATTTTTACTGATTGTGGGTATTTTGTCATCTTCATCATTGGTAGATGCAAGAGTTGTAGGTGCGTTAGGTGATCTTTTGTTTTCATCATCCTGCTCAACTATAAAAGTATTAAAACAGAATTGATTATTAAGTCAACATAAATAAGCCTACCTACACCGTACGCCTACAATGACCTATTGCTACCCACTAGCTGTACCTTCTTCTGTATAATTACAGTATGGACACACCATTGGATCATCGTCACAGAATACTGCTATGCTATTGTTACTACCAACATGAGTGCCAGCTGTCCTCAGTTCAAACGTTTCGTCACATTCTGGGCATTGTCTCTCGACAATCTTTCCCTCGCCATATTTCTGCATTAGGTCGTCCTCTAGAAAATTAGAAAAACCTCGTTCAAAACCAAACCACGGTCGAAATATAATATATATTAAACAATTTAGTAAGCATAAATCATCAACCTACCACTTTCTGAAACTGAAGCAATAACAACGCCAGACGTGTCAATGCTTTCCTCTAATCCTTCGGCTTCAGGTCTATCAGCCAAAAAACTGTCCATCATGTCAAAAAATTTGAATTTTGCTTTGAAAAAACAGCGTGGCCCTTCGATATTCGATATCCGCGCGAATGGCGGGAAAGTTTTAGGTACTGGGAGCGACATACTCATTACTCAATCGCGCTCATTTCATTATTATATACAGTGCGTTTTCAGTTCACACTTGGTTAAGATCGATCTCAATATCGATCTCAGACCGCTTCTTCAAGCGAACTGACTCAGATCGATCTGAGATCGATCTCAAGTTTTCAGCGACAGTTCACACTAGGTATGCTTTGTCCCAGATCGATTTGAGATCGATCTAACAATGTAGTGTGAACCGAGAGGCAATTCACTCCAAAAATCCCGTACACTTCGTCAAAAAATCCGGAAAATATCCAGAAAAAATCCATGAAATCCTCAAAATCCGTTGAATCCATCAAAATCCGAAAAATCCTTTAAAAACCACAGAAATCCTTCAAAAATCCACGGAAATCCTTCAAAATCCTTCAAAATCCTTAAAAATCTGCAAATCCACAAAAAATATATGACGTACTTGGTGTAATTTACTCGTAAAGGTTCTTTGCCACGTTCAAAATGGCGGACAGCGAAAGCTAAACGCTTAGCGTGATCGCTGTCATTATTTATTTCGTAATTATTGGACCACTCTACATTTCCATTTATACGCTCGAGTATATGCCAAGTTTTTTTAGCCTATATTACTACTAAATATGTGTTCTTGTTACAATGACGTTATGTTGTAAAATATAATTACAAAACCAAAAGTTATTCACCATTGTCTTTTACTGTTTTTGAAAGAATAATGAACTTGTTTGAATTTTAAACAAAATGACTGCATGCCCA